GATGCAGCTTTGGCCGGGCTCCGCCTGAGCCGCGCCGCCGCATTCCCGGCTGGGCGCCCGGGTCCCTTGGCTTGAAACCTCCCTGCGACCGGCCCAGCGCGCAGGAGCGATCCTGGGACGCGCCGCAGAGTTGCGGGGTCTGAGCTCCGGGGCCTTTGGGGGGCTGCTGAGGGGGGGTCTTGCCTGGTCCCTGAGTGCCTGGGGGAGAGGAGTGCCTGGGAGGAGACGCTGTGGCCAAAGGGGCTGGTGTGACCCTAGGGGAGCCGCGAGCGGGGCAGGGAGGGGATGCCGCACCCGGATCCTGCACCCAGTGCTGGCGCTCCCAAGGGTGCTGACCAAGTGGAGCGGGAGGACAAAGGAGACTCAGGGATTCCAGGGCTGAAGGAAATGTTCAGTGGCCCAGAACCAACCCGATGGGTGACTCGCTCTGGCGTATGGTATAAATACCATCCTGGGCAGAAAATACCAGCTCCCAACGGGCTTTGTAATCCAGAACAAGGCAGAACACGGACCGGCGGCTGGAAGGTGAAGTCAGACAAATTAGAGACAAAGCTCGTGTTTTTAGAGAGGCCACAGGAGGTCTGGCAAATAGCCTGGGCCCCACAGGCCCATGTTCGGAGCAGGGCGGGTGACTGAGCACTGGAACAAGGTCCCCAGGGCAGTGGTGGGTTCCCCATCTCTGGGGGTCTGCGGACCCAGGCTGGCGCCTTTCTGGACAATGCTTTAGCCAGACACAAGTGACTGGGCTCAGTGCTGGGGGAACTGGCTGAAGTTTGATGGCCTGTGATGTGCAGGTCAGACTAGCTGATCTAATGGCCCCGCCTGGCCCTATACTCTGTGAATCTACGAAAACCCGACATGCCCCTGCACTGGGCTAGGCTGACATCACGTTGTCCCCTTGTCGATGGCATCTTGGCTGTGATCAGTCCTCAGCGTGTCACCAGCCTCGGCCTACCCGCCTCTCTCATCCCAATACAGGTCCACGCCTGAGCAGAGGACAGAGGAACCAGGAAGGTAGAGGTTGACAATCAGCCCTTTCGAGGCCATTGGAAGAGCAGGCGGAAAGGTTTGGGCTTTTCTGTTGAAAAATAGTTTTGTTGCAATCAAAATGTTTTGCAAAAACTGTTCAAGGGGGGGGGGGGAGAGGGAATCAGAAATGAAACAAAACGAAAGTTTTTGTTTTGTCTCTAATTAATATTTTTGCTCTGTTTCTGTTCCTGATGTTCAGATATTTGTCCCCCTCCCCCTTTCTCTCATTTTGTACCTTTTTTCCACTGGGAAAAAGGAAAAATAGGTGAGGAAGGGTCTTTTCTCCTGCCCCAGGCATCTGAAATCGGAACCAAACCAAAAATCACCAGGCGAGATGAAAACTTTTGTTTTGTTTCAATTTTGGGGGGTTAAACCCCAGAAAATTTAGTTGAAACATTTTTAATAAAAACAAATGGGTGTGAATGTTTTTTGCAGGAGGAATTGTTGATCTGTGCAGCCGCTCTCAGGGGTAGGCAGGGAGCGGCGTGTGGCCAGGGACAGTCTGGGCATTGGGATCCCGGAGCCTTGCCTCAGTGTCTCTGGTCAAATTTGCAGTGACCCAGGGCCAAACCTTGGAAGCCGAGCGCTTGGCTTCTCCGTCAGTGCTCCAGCCCACAGCGTAGGTTGTGTTATATTTACCATGGGCCGCTCTGCGCAGGCATGGGGAGGGGCGGGGGGCCCTGACCCCCGGCTCAGGTGGGTCAGAGGAGCAGGAGGGATGGGACATGATGTCCAGCAGGGGACTCAGGGAGTGTGGCGAGAAACCAGTGCTGAGAAAAGCTTGGGGTCTGGGCTTCTCTGCCCCCGGGCACAGCCCTGCTATGGTTAGTGAGTGTTCGCTGTGCTTGTTCGCTGCCCAGACACGCAGCAGGGATGCCGACGCCAGGGCTGCCCTGCCCACGGCGGGCTTGACTCGTCCCTGCCCATGCAAATGCCCCAGCTCCGGCTGCTTTGGCTTCCCCCATTTTACAGCCCCATAAGCCACTGCAGGAAGTAGATTTCCTGGCTGGTTCCAAATATCCCCTTTGGCCTGGTGCCTCCCAGCTGTGCCGGGGGGAAGATGGGAGGTGATGGCGGGGCCTGCCCCGCGTGCCGTTCTGTACAAGGCCCGTGCGGTGCTCTGGGGGGTACACTGGTGGTTACCCCTCTGCCATGTCTCTCAGCGGCTGCTGAATGAGCTTGGGAGGGGGCGGGTTAGTGGCCCAGGCTCCAGGGACCAGTCCCAGCAGGGTTCACCCTCCCCTCATGGATAAGGAGATGAGGGTCTCTTAGACGAGCCTTTACCGCTCCTGGTCCTGCTTGGCCTGCACGTTCGGGCCCCCCGGGTCCATTGCTCCCCGTCCCTGCACCGGCGCTGGGGCAGGGCGCGGTGTCATGTGACTCCACATCGAGGCCTCGGGTTCTCCACACGGGGCAGGTGGCCGTGCCGGGAGCTGAGCCTGCAGCTTGCCCTGGGCCTGCGATTCCCCCGGCGAGCCAGGTCCGCTGGTGTCCGGGCCGAGGCTCTGGATGGGCGTCTCTAGTAACGGCCCTGGAGGGAGGAGCAGCCCCAGGCCCAGTGTCCCTCTGGAGCTCAAGGGGGAGCATCTCAGCGCTGTCCCCCCCCAGCTGAGCAGGGCCGGATGAGAGTCCCCAGGGACCCCTCCCGCTGGTGCTGCCCCTTCACCAGCTAGAGAGGGTCCCTGGTGAGCCTCTTCCTGGCACCTGGGCGGCTCTCCCAGCCCCTGTGCACCAATCGGCAGCTGTCCTGGCCCCATCAGCCCTGCCCTGGGCTCCCGGGAGACGTGCTTCTCCTTGGCGCGTGGAGCCGGCTGCAGCCTGCCAGGACCTGCCGCTCGCGGCCCCACCCAGGCTCCAGCCACCTGTACAGTCACCAGGAGTGAGGCAGCGTCTGGCTTGGGGGCCGGGCGAGCCAGGGCCTGCTGCCTCCTCACCCTGCTCTGCTCCTGTCCTGGTCCCTCTCAGCAATGCCCACTGCTCCCGGGCACCTGTGCGCCCGCCACCTGCCACCTCCTCACCCTGCTCTGCTCCTGTCCTGGTCCCGCTCAGCGATGCCCACTGCTCCCGGGCACCTGTGCACCCGCCACCTGCCATCTCCTCACCCTGCTCTGCTCCTGTCCTCGTCCCTCTCAGCAATGCCCACTGCTCCCGGGCACCTGTGCGCCCGCCGCCTGCCGCCTCCTCACCCTGCTCTGCTCCTGTCCTGGTCCCTCTCAGCAATGCCCACTGCTCCTGGGCACCTGTGCACCCGCTGCCTGCCGCCTCCTCACCCTGCTCTGCTCCTGTCCTGGTCCCGCTCAGCAATGCCCACTGCTCCCGGGCACCCGTGCGCCTGCCGCCTCCTCACCCTGCTCTGCTCCTGTCCTGGTCCCGCTCAGCAATGCCCACTGCTCCCGGCCACCTGTGCGCCCACCGCCTGCCGCCCTTCCCCAACTCCCAGAGCCGGCGGCTCCCAGCGAGCCCCGCCCGGCCCCCGGATCTCCTGACACCACCAGATGGGGGTTGCTGCAAGCTGGCTGTCCCCCGGCCCACTCCCAGGGCGAGCCTCGTGCTCCAGCAGCAGCTGTGGGGAATAAATAGTCCAGCAGCCGCATTCCGAACCGGCAGCCGGCGCGGAGCCCGTGGCCTCCCGGTGACACCCCCGGCTGCTGGGGCCTTCCGAGGGGGCCCAGGCTGTCACGGCCCCTCCTAGCACTGCCGTTCCCAGACCAGCAGGGGCAGCTGGGAGGCGTTAGGGTCAGACATGCCCCCCAGGCTCTGTCTGCCTGCTCCATCCTGCTGGACACGTGCCATAGTCTGGGGCTCCTGGCCTGTCCCCCCCGGGGGCCCGTCTCTAGCCTGGTGCCACCTGGGACTCACACACCACTTTACATGGATACAATCCCCAGCCGGTCGGGCAGCACCACGGCCTCATTTGACAGTCGACAGGTAGAGGGAATGGGACTTGGCCAAGGTCATACAGTGAGTCAGTGTCGTCTGGGAGTAGGACCCAGGAGTCCGGGCTCCCAGCCCCCCTAGTCTGATTACCAGACCCCACTCCTGTCCCCAAAGTGACGATAGAACCCAGGAGTCCTGACGCCCAGCCCCCCCTGCTCTAACCATTAGACACCACTCCCCTCTCACACCCATGGATAGAACCCAGGAGTCCCCGGCCGGCTGCTGTAACCTCTGTGCAAACAGGTATCCCAGTAAAGGGGACCCCTCTCCACAGGCCTCTGCGCTCAGCCAGCGTTCCCTCCTCCCCAGCCTGCTCTGTGTGTGTTCGTTCTGGGCGTGGTTGGCTCTGAGCCGGCGAGTCACGCGGGCTGGCAAAGACAATGCCCATGGGCGGGCTGCTTCGCAGGCTGGGTAGCAGGGGGCTAGGCCGGCACCTGGAGGAGAGAGGGCAGGGCTGGAAGTGGACTGTGGTACAGAGAGGACTGTACAAGAGACCCAGGTTCAATCCCCGAGGCCGGAATATTGTGCCTGGGGCCAGCTGGGGCAGCTCAGTGCCCAGGGCAGGGAGCCCCCGTGATCCTGCAGTACCCCCTGCGGTGGCTCTAGACACGCCCCGTGCAGATCTCCGTGGCCCAGGCTTGTGCCATGCCGGGCCTGGGGGGGAGGGATGGAAGCAGCAGAGGTGCCCTGCTTGGCCCCGGATGCCCTGGGAGCCCCTGTGGGTGGCACCCCCCGTGCCGAGGCGGCTGAGGGCTCGGAGCTTGGTTTGAGCTGCTGTCAGAGCAGGGTCCTGTTCTCAGGCTGCCTTCATCTGTCTGCAGGAGCCAGGCCAAGGCGCTGACTCCCGAACCCGCTTCCCCTCCAGATCTGGCCGGCCGGGGAGCCAGGACGGTGCCGCCAGTGGGATCCCGGAGCCACCGGCCTCTGAACCGCACGGTCTGTCTCCACGGGAAACCGGGGAGGGAAGGCGGCTTCCGGGCTCACCCTGGGAGAGAGAAAGGGATCCGGGGGGGCAGGTAGACACCCCACCCCTGCAGCGTTTCCTTTCTCCTGGGGGCCTGAGCCCGGTGCAGCACTGGGATCCCCTGGGGGCCGGGCCAGAGCGTTAGCCCTGCCCTCCAAGCGGGCACTGTCTGAGCCTGCACCCACCCCGTGCCCCTCAAGCTGCCCCCATGGCCCTGTGCCGGGGAAGTAGGAGGCTCCCGCCTAGCTCTGCAGCGGGCGGGCGGCACTCTGTGCGCAGCATCCCGCCGGCCCCCGGCCACCATCCCCCCTAGCCATTGGGCCCCGATAACACTGGACTGGCTGGAGCAGACGGCACAAAGGCTCCGGGGTGGGTGCCCTGGAGGCAGCGAGGCCAAGAGGAGCCCACCTTGGGAGGCAGTTTGCCCAGCTGCCAGGCCCAGGCCCAGGGCAGTTGTCTCAGAGCCATTGGACGTGCCCCAGAGCCCGGGCAGGGTCGTGCTCCGGTTCCCAGCTCCCTGGCTGGGCTCCTGTCCCGTCCCTCGCTGCCCCTCAGCATCGGGACGTTCTTCCTCGGGAGCCCCGGGGACCCAGCTAGCAACCGCAGCGTGGAGCAGGCAGGAGCCGGGAGCCCCAGTCCCACTGCTCAGACTCCCCGCTCTGGTGCCTGAGCCGTCCCGCCAGCAGAGCCCGGACGTGTAACCGCGTGGGCTGGGATCTGAGGGGTCGGACAGAGAGCCGAGTCAGGGTTTGCTGGCATCAGAAATCGCCCTGTCCCGAGAACCCCACCCCAGTGCCCCAGCCCCTGGACCTGAAGCCAAGTATCGGGCCGGCTTCCCGGGCCATGGGCTGAGCTGAAATGGGGGGAGCTCGGGCGGCTCCGGGAGCCTCTCTGCGGGTTGCTCAGGGTGCGTGACGGGTCCCCGGGCGCTCGCTGGCCCACAGGTTGCCAACCCGCCAGGGATGTCCTAGTGCCCCGGGAAGGGAAGATGAAGCCGGGAGGAGAGCTGAGGTCAGGGCAGCTCTGCCAGGAGGAGCCAGCCCGGTTCCCATCACTCAGTCACAAGGCGCAGGGGGAAGTGGCGGGTGGTTTATTACGCGGCAGTCGTGGGCTTGGCAAACGGGCGGGCGGACGTGCCGCAGGAGGAAACGCTTTATACCCAGGGAGCTGCCCCTGCCGTAACCTGCCGTTCGCTGCTCCTGTCTGGAACCCACGGTGCTCGGGGCGTGGACAGATCACACAGGCGTCGCCTTGGAGGAGTTCGCTCTGTGGTGTCAGCAGGTGCAGGGCTGGGGGTGTGTGTCTAGGAATAGCTCCCACCCCTCCCCCACTAGCCCCAGCTATCGGGGATCCCGAAGCGGCTCGAGCCCACAGGGCTCCCAGAAGGACGGACGCGTCTCCCGGACAGGCCCAGGAATCGCCCTGCCCCCCATTTAGCTGGGAGTTTCCCAGGGGGCTCCCATCCACGGACCCCACTCCCAGCCCGGGAAACCAAGGCACGAGAAGGGAAGAAGCTTTTACAGTGGCACACAGTGCAGCTGGAAATGGAACCCAGGAGTCCTGGCCGCCAAGGTGCCCCCCCCCCACTAGCCCCTGCTCCCCTCCCAGTAGCGTGATTAGAACCCAGGAGTCCTGCCTCCCACCCTGCCTTGCTCTAACCATTAGGCTTCTGGGCAGGATTTCTGAATGGGGGCTGGGGAGGGGACGGCCCGACACTGAAATTAGCAGCCCCCCTTTGCCCTCCTGTGTTCCCCTGGCTCCTTGCCAAGGGCGGGGGGGCTCCTCCCCTGAGTCGCTGCTCAGGCCATGAGGGCGCTGGGAAGGCAGCCGGCTCTGTGTGACAGGGCCCTGATTCCCCGGGGCGGGGGGACGCCCCCATCCCGACAGGTCCTGCGCTGGGGGCCAGAAGCGGGTGAAGCTGTGGCAAGGCCTTGGGAAGGGCCCTGGCCCCTGTGTGTGGAGGGGGCGTGGTGCAGGGCTGGGGGGCAGGCTCCGTGCCCGGGAGGCTGAGCGGTTTTACTGCCCGTCCCGTGGTCCCTTTCTGGCCGCAGACGGTGCGTTGGGGAAGCCGCCCTTGGCCCTGCGTGTCTCCCCGCGTGATGTGGCAGGGAAAGTGCAGCCGGCTGGACTTTGCCCCTGCCAGGGCGGGGCCTGCAGCCGTCCTGCCCGTGGGATGCAGGAAAGAGTCGGCGTTTCTTCAGGCAGTCAGGTCTAGTGGGTAGAGCAAGAGGGAGCCTGGAATCGGGGCTCCTGGGTTCTGTTCCCAGCTCTGGGAGAGAAGCAGCATCCGGGGGTAAGAACGGGGGTGGGGGAGCCAGGCCTTCTGGGTTCTAGTCCCAGTTCTACCGCTGTCTGGCTGGGGGACTGCCCCTCGCTGCCTCAGTTTCCCTGTGTGTAAATCAGGGCTCTCCTGGGAGAGGGCTGCCTGAGGGCAGCACACAGGGCCTCCCAGGGGATCTGGCCCCCTCGGGGCATTTCAGAGCCTGAGTGGGGAAGGCCAGACCGGGCTCGACCGGACAAATGACGCCGGGGAGAAACACAAAACTGCAGCTGCATATCCCAGGCTCCTTCCGGTCCCTGCAGAACCAACGCCCCTGCCCTGCCCACCAGAGCGAGACAAACCCCAGGTCATGCAGCGTCCTGGGCAGGGGGTTTGGAGCCTGGCAGCCCTGCACCGCTGCCCCTTTGGTCCCAGAGCCCAGCAGGGCCCATCAGACACCTTGTTGTGCCCAGGACGCTCCTGATGTGCACTGGGGTGGTGGGAGGAGAATGGGTCCCCTTAACACCTGTGTGGGGCGAGGGAATGGCTCTGCCAGCAGGGTCAGGTGCAGGCAGCCCAGGCTGGGATCCTGGGTTAGCAACAGCCTCCCGCCCCGCACAGGGTGCAGCAGTGTTCGAACCGGGGTCCTTCGGCACCACTGGAGCTAAAGGGGCCAGCTCCATTATCTGGGCAGCAGTAGTAGGCTGTTACCCTCTGTGCTGAACAACCCATGGGGTGGAAACAAGATGTGTTTTACAAAGGAGCTGGGCTCTGTCCTTACTCGAGTTTGACACGGTGTCTCTCCAGATCTATGTGCCCGTGACAGGAGAATCAGGCCCTGTCTCTCAGGACCCCGAGCAGGGGTTTACCGGCTTCTGATTAAATTAAGAGACTTGAATGCAAATTGAAATTCACCCCCCACCCCCCTGACTGCTCCCCTCCCAACACCCCCCTTGAATGGGGTTTGTGTTTGGAGTCAGATATTCTCAGCTCCAGCCGGCTCCCGGCAGCAGGATCCCAATGACCCCCCCGCCCCACCTTCCCAGAGTTAAATAATAACCCAGGGCAGCAGGCAAAGCACGTCCTGCCCGAGCCCTGGGCCCTGCGTTCCTGGCTCCGTTGCTAGGCTCTGGGCTGAGGGAGTTTAACAATTTGAATAACCGTGAGGGTTAATTTAACCCCTTTGGGGCCTCCTAGGCAGCTGTATGGCTGCACATGGCCTCCCGAGATCCTGTTGAACGACGAGTGAGTCCAGGACCTGTTATCCTGGCTCCTGGCCCCAGGCTGTGCCTCAGTTTCCCTGTCTGTATCCTGGGGATAATGAGGTGGGTCCATCCCTGCGGGGATGAGTTTGTCGATGGAAAGTGCTGGATAAGCAATAAAAGATCCTGCAGCATCTTGACGTGGCCCCTCCCCGTGCAGTGTGTCCCTGCCTGGCTGCTCCTCCCCACCCCAGAGGTGGCTGCTTTTCAGTGCTGCTGTGTGTATGGAGGGGCAGGAGCTGCGGAGCATCATTGAAAGTGGGGTATAGATTTGCCCCCCGAACTTCCTCTTCCCCACTCAGCCCCCCTCCCCCACCAGCAGCCTGACCCTCCCCTGGCCCAGGAGCCCCTACACCCACCCCCTAAGGTGAGAGGCATTGTGACCTGGCACGTGGGGTCGCAGCGCTGCTCAGGTGTGACCTGGCCAGAAAGTGGTCAGGTGAGGTCCAGGTGCCCCCCCCCCCCCAGCTCCGCAGCCCATGTGGGGTGGCAGGGTGCCTTGGAGACATCCACCCTCCAGGAGGTGATGGGGTGAAAAAACACCAACGGTTATTGTGATGAACAAGAATGGGAACAATCGCACGGGGATCAGAAATGAGAGGTTTCTGCAGAGCTGCGACCCCCCGTGGAGTGTGGGGGGAGAGCGCAGGGCTGGGCTAGCAGGGGCTGCGGGTCGGGAGTGAGGGGCACTGGCAGGGCTGGGGGGAGGTGAAGGTGGGCTAGCGGGGGGCTGCGGGTCGGGAGTGAGGGGCACTGGCAGGGCTGGGGGGAGCTGAGACTGGGCTAGCAGGGGCTGCCGGTCGGGAGTGAGGGGCACCGGCAGGGCTGGGGGGAGGCGAAGGTGGGCTAGCGGGGGGCTGCAGGTCGGGAGTGAGGGGCACCGGCAGGGCTGGGGGGAGCCCAGACTGGGCTAGCGGGGGGCTGCAGGCTGGGGGTTACCAAGGCGACACACCGCCGCACCCTGGTATCTAACCGGGCTCTGCCCTGCTCTGCCCCCCTCCCTGAGCCTGCAGCCCCCGGCGCCCTCTGGTGGCCAATCCATCTCATCACTGCTGCTCTAACTGCCATGGGGGGCATCCCCCCCCCCAGCACCATCTCCCCTCACCTCCAGATGAAACCGTCTCTGATCCCCCCGGGCTGCCCCACACTCAGCCTCCACCAGCCCCAGTGGGACCCTTGGGCCAGGTGCCCCGGGCGGGAAGGCAGCCGTGCCCAGAGCCGGGCTGTGAGCGGGGGCGTCACTCCTGGGGCACGCCCCGCTTGTGGGTGTCCAGCCATGGCCTGGTGCTGCCCGTCTGGGCACAGGGGGATGCCAGGGCTGTGGGAGCAACACAGAGACGCGTGTGTCCAGAGCATGTGGCCAGGACGTGGGTTGCACTCCCTGTCCCCCATGGCTCCCCTAACGCCCAGCTCTTTCTCCCTAGGTGTGGGACAGAGCCGGGACCTTGGGACTGGCCCAGTCCCCATCGCAGCTTCCTGACGCAGGGGGTGGTGCCGCGCTCCCCACATGGCAGCTGGGTGCCCCCCGTAACGCCAGTCAAACTGGACGCCTCGGGCCTACGTGAGCCACCCTCAGGCCAGAGCCCGCCCGCCCGCCACTCCCACCCCAGCTGGGACTCCCTGCACCATGCCGGCCAGGGGCCGAAGGGATCGGCTGTGGGCAGATACCATGATGCCACCACCATCACCGGTGGGTCCAGCTGGGGGCACTGGGGTAACCACCCTGGGGGGAGCCGGGCTGGCCTATCGGGGCGCTGAGCGGGGGTGGGTCCGAGGGCTGCAGGGTTCACAGCAGGGGATGGAGGGGCTGGGACCCCACCATCCAGGGCACTCGGGCTCCTGCCTGGGGGATCCCGTCCAGCGCGCCGCACGGGAAGGACCCGAGCGCCACCGGCCAGCCCCTGCTGCCAGCACAGGCCCACCAGCCCGTCAGGGAGATGGGCGCCCAGGGGCAGGTGACCCCAGAGCGTGCCCAGGGCCTGGCCAGGCTGCTATCCTGCCACCCTCTCCCCACTTCTCCTTGGAGATTTTCTCCTCTGCCGGGGCTGTGGCCAGCAGGTGGCGGCAGGACCTTTCCCATGGAGACATGGGAGAGCGGCAGGGCTGTGACGGAACGTGGGGACCCGGGAGCCTCGGTGCCCTGCCTCCAGGGGCCGCTCGTCCTGTGCGCCCACAGCCAAAGAAAGACGAGAGCCAGATGGACTCAGGGCAGCTGGGCAATCGCGGGGGCACCAGCTCCAATCTGCCCCAAGGACGGGGGACTGGCTGGCTCGGGGGCGGGGCGGGGGGGCGTCTGTCCCCACTAGGGGTCGCGGGCACCGGTCCCACCCCGGGCAAGACTTGGAAGTTGTTGCCCTCAGCTGGTCAGAGGCCCCCTGTGAACTGAGCCAGCGACTGAGAAGCAACACCCGAAATCCCCGAGTGACACCGACACTGATGCGGTGGGAACCAGCCCGCGAGGGGGGACCCGAGCGCAGAGACGCCCGTGGAAGGGTCTGGTGGTTCCCGAACGCGGGCGGTTGTGCTCTGCGCCCTGGGGCCTGACCGGGGCCTCTGGCTGCTGCCGGAATATAAATGGTTAATCAGTGACCTGGGCTCTGCTCCCTGAAGGGTCAACGACTCTCTGTGCAGCCCCCGCTAGCCCAGCCCCGGGTACCCCCCGCAGCCCTGCCGGTGCCCCCTCACTCCCGACCCGCAGCCCCCGCTATCCCAGCCCC